CCCATGACTTTTAAGAGTTACGTGGCTTTCATTACAGTGCATATCTATGGCTACATAAATTCGGTAGAAAGCGGTGTTTTCCATGATGAAACTTACTGCAAGTTGCAAGGAAAAGCAGAGTTATTTGAACCAATATTCGTTGGTAAAAATTCGACTTGTCGTCTGTCTGCAGTTTTTACTGATGAACAATGGCGAAAACACAACATAAGTTTGCCTTTACAATCACTCGACACTTTTGAAACTCCAGAGCAATCTGAGGGAGTGTTATTTGAAAAGAAGTTGATTAGAGATGAGATCATTGAAGAAAGAAGTGATAATTTTTACTTCATGGTTTACTTGTACTTTTAAAAAAATTTGTATATTGCTTCGCCAACATAAATTCGAGACACAAAATCTAAAAATTTAAAAACTTGAAATTATTTTTCTATATCAAGTTTTATTTCGATAAATTGTTTAAAAATTTTCCGTTTGATAAAAATTTAATTAATAATTAAAAAAATAATATGAACATATTCGAAATTTCTTTTCAATTTTTAACACTTTTCGCACAGTAGGCATTAAGGGGATTTACATAACATCATCTGTGACGCAATATCGACGTATTGCAGTAACTTTTAAAGTTTACAATATTTCTATCACGTTGGAGGGTGCAGTTTTAATACGTTTATTAGTAGTAAAATCACATTGAGAATATAAAGCGAATAGTAAACGAAGAGAGTAACTGTGTTAAACAAAATACGAAATTAACCTATTAATTAATTGACATATTTATTATAAACAGAAATTCAGAAATCTTTAATAGTATATTAATCAATCTCGATCTATAACACAGTTTGTATAGCTTATTTGTTAGATGCGCCGATGAAATTTATCGCGCCGTTCGGATTGTACAGTACATGATTAATCCGTGTTCCTGTATATTAAATAACAAGAAACAGAAGATATACTTTACATTTTCAGTGTTAATTCGAATGAACACGCATTTCGTAGAGATCATTTCCTGGATGGTGAATATTCTGTTCTTCGTAAGGTTAATCGATGGCAATCTTTACAGTTTATTAGTTAAGAATATGTACAAAGAAAGTGCTTTAGAAGAGTCAATAGTAAATGCATTGATATTGAGTTATCTTTCTATCTAATACAGTATTTACGAAAAGCAGAAAATTCGCTACGACGGTCGTGTGAATAATCAATATTATTAGACGTAATTGATAACTATACAACACTGATAACTCTGTATCAACTCGTCAAGAGATGTGTCTTTTATGTAATCGAATTTATAAAAAATGCAAGCATATGAAATTTAAATCAGTAATTATTCCTTCTAAATTATTGGTAAACAACAGGTAGGCCCGGCGTTGCTCGGGCAAAAAGTAACGATAGCGAAGATTATGATTATTACGTTATAGTCAACCTTAAACGTTTTTACAGAATGCAAGAATTGGTCCCCCTGTTTCCGGACTATTTAGAAAATTTTTAGATGGGTCTAAAAATATGTTCGATTTCTCGCAAAAACGAAAAAAAAACTGCATCTGCGTCTTGCACGCGCCTTCTCTTAACAATTTCATTTTTACGTAACTTTTCCATTGTTGACACTTCCATTGTTGTCATTTTCATTGTTAACACTGCAATTGTTACTTAACACTTTCATTGTCAAACCTTAATCCTGTCTCTCTCCCCCCGGGGGTGAATTTCGAGAAATCCCTTCTTAGTGTGTGTTTTTCTCACGTGCCCGGTGTACCAAATTTTAACTTTTAACTCCTAACCGTTTGGGCTCTGCGCTTATTATTATTATTATCATCAACTCGTTTCGATTATATATATATATATATCAATAGATACGTACTGTTTGAGGCTATTTGAATATCAAAGATCCTGAAAATCTGACATTAATTATAAAGATTAAAATTATATTAAAAATAGATTAACAATAAACCTTTGAGAGACCAGTAAAATTTTTATTTGTAAAACAAATGTTTTCGACAGTATTCTTCGGCCCTGTTCAGGTCAAACGTTCCGATATTCGAAAAGCCGTTGTGCAATCCTCTTGATCCGATTTACAGAGAAATTGCTGCATGTACAAACAAGAGGATTGCATATAGGAGGCGTAGTACTATTTATTATTTATGACATTATGCGCAGCTGCAAAGACGACATAGACAAGAGATCTGTTCCACGGGTATATTCTGTCCCACTAAGGGACCATAGATTTCAAAGGGACCTTGTATATATTGGCTCTTCGATACGCTCTCTAGATAAGCGTATACGCGAACACAAATATGACATTGAATATAACAGATGCACCACTGCCCTATCTACTTATGCTTCGACCTCGGGCATAAGCGTCAACTTGCATAACGCGCGAATCATTAAACTTTTACACAGAAGGGAACATTAATTACGCAATTGAGTATAGAAAACACCATTTTGCATGTTGTGCGTATTGCCTTCTGTAAACATAATATTCTAAGCTAACAATGATTCACATCCAACAGGTAGACGTATTTGTTAAATAAACATAGGGAACACCCATCTATTTTTTCACATCGTAAGGAATCTCAGCTTAGCCCTAGCCCTAACAAGAGCTAGAATTGCCTTCTTATATAATTTAGACGGCATAGCTTCAAATACCTTATGTCTATGTTCCTTTTCACCAGTATCTGGTGAAAAGAAACCTTTACATAAAATTATATTAAAATATATCGTTAAAACACTAAAAATATTTGCTATACGCAATTTTCTTAGTAAAGAATCAGTAATATTTGGTACTAAGTCTGCACTAATTAACTGTTTCAATTTCGTATTTCCTAGAACCGTTTCACGTTGAATGTTCCAAAGTAAATATTCGTTTATCATCGGAATTACATAAGATATGTTTTTTATTTTTATCGCTAACGCAGTGAATATATAAAGAAATTTATTTAATTTACTAAATATTTACTAAATATAAAGTAGGAGTTAAACAAAAGTTTCTTTATATTCCATACCTCGTCCTCACAAAATAACTGAAAGGTTCAGATGAATGTTTTGGCTGTATCGTAAGACTCGTTTTATATTAAACAAAAAATATGCAATTCGTATATACTCAAAAATACTCTGAGAGTGACATCACTTAGTTTTCAATCAGTAAAAGATGTATTAATAACTACATCTCATTTATTTTTCAGATTTTTCAACACTGGTCTTAAGTAGTGCCAAATATCGTTTGTACATTTAAAATTTCTTCGTGTTAACAATTGTAAAGTTTTTAAAATATCACTAAATTGTAAGTTAATGCTACAGTTAATTATTACTTCTCAATGTCTAATTTCTACATTTTTTCTTTAAGATGTATCGTGGAGGCAGCTAGCATTTTTCTTCGAGAATTCCCTTAAAAANTTTCATTTTTACGTAACTTTTCCATTGTTGACACTTCCATTGTTGTCATTTTCATTGTTAACACTGCAATTGTTACTTAACACTTTCATTGTCAAACCTTAATCCTGTCTCTCTCCCCCCGGGGGTGAATTTCGAGAAATCCCTTCTTAGTGTGTGTTTTTCTCACGTGCCCGGTGTACCAAATTTTAACTTTTAACTCCTAACCGTTTGGGCTCTGCGCTTATTATTATTATTATCATCAACTCGTTTCGATTATATATATATATATATCAATAGATACGTACTGTTTGAGGCTATTTGAATATCAAAGATCCTGAAAATCTGACATTAATTATAAAGATTAAAATTATATTAAAAATAGATTAACAATAAACCTTTGAGAGACCAGTAAAATTTTTATTTGTAAAACAAATGTTTTCGACAGTATTCTTCGGCCCTGTTCAGGTCAAACGTTCCGATATTCGAAAAGCCGTTGTGCAATCCTCTTGATCCGATTTACAGAGAAATTGCTGCATGTACAAACAAGAGGATTGCATATAGGAGGCGTAGTACTATTTATTATTTATGACATTATGCGCAGCTGCAAAGACGACATAGACAAGAGATCTGTTCCACGGGTATATTCTGTCCCACTAAGGGACCATAGATTTCAAAGGGACCTTGTATATATTGGCTCTTCGATACGCTCTCTAGATAAGCGTATACGCGAACACAAATATGACATTGAATATAACAGATGCACCACTGCCCTATCTACTTATGCTTCGACCTCGGGCATAAGCGTCAACTTGCATAACGCGCGAATCATTAAACTTTTACACAGAAGGGAACATTAATTACGCAATTGAGTATAGAAAACACCATTTTGCATGTTGTGCGTATTGCCTTCTGTAAACATAATATTCTAAGCTAACAATGATTCACATCCAACAGGTAGACGTATTTGTTAAATAAACATAGGGAACACCCATCTATTTTTTCACATCGTAAGGAATCTCAGCTTAGCCCTAGCCCTAACAAGAGCTAGAATTGCCTTCTTATATAATTTAGACGGCATAGCTTCAAATACCTTATGTCTAGGTTCCTTTTCACCAGTATCTGGTGAAAAGGAACCTTTACATAAAATTATATTAAAATATATCGTTAAAACACTAAAAATATTTGCTATACGCAATTTTCTTAGTAAAGAATCAGTAATATTTGGTANCTGGTGAAAAGGAACCTTTACATAAAATTATATTAAAATATATCGTTAAAACACTAAAAATATTTGCTATACGCAATTTTCTTAGTAAAGAATCAGTAATATTTGGTACTAAGTCTGCACTAATTAACTGTTTCAATTTCGTATTTCCTAGAACCGTTTCACGTTGAATGTTCCAAAGTAAATATTCGTTTATCATCGGAATTACATAAGATATGTTTTTTATTTTTATCGCTAACGCAGTGAATATATAAAGAAATTTATTTAATTTACTAAATATTTACTAAATATAAAGTAGGAGGTAAACAAAAGTTTCCTTACTTTTCATACCTCGTCTTCACACATAACTGAAACGTTCTCATTAATGTTTTGGCTGTATCGTAAGATTAGTTTTGTAGTAAACAAAAAATATGCCATTCGTGTTAACTAATTTAAAATACTCTGAGGGTAACATCACTTAGTTTTCAATCAGTAAAAGATGTATTAATAACTGCATCTCATTTATTTTTCAGATTTTTCAACACTGGTCTTAATTAGTGGCAAATATCGTTTGTACATTTAAAATTTCTTCGTGTTAACAAGTTTAAAGTTTTTAAAATATTATCAAATTGTAAGTTAATGCTACAGTTAATTATTTCTTCTCAATGTCTAATTTCTACATTTGTTTCTTTAAGATGTATCTTGGAGGCAGCCAACATTTCTCTTGAAGAATTCCCTTAAAAATGACAAGTTTTGAAGAAGAAAGTAAATACTGTATTTACAACTGAAAAAAAATGGATTTGATATTGTAAAGTAATTACTTCCAAGCTATGCTGAAGTAACTTTTTCTGCATTTTTTTGTAATTAATATAAACGGATTACTTTATACGTTAACCTTGAAGTTTAGTACTGTATATTGTATTTCGTAGATTTTCTGTATCAAAGTCCGAAAAAGAGAAAGTTTTTCTGTGGAAATTGTGACAAAAAATTCTGTTTAAATTCACTTTGAAATTCATAGGAGGATTCACACAGCAAAAATCGTTTTGTAGCCAGTTATGCGGTAAAACCGAATTTTTCGCAATTATTCCGGAGAGAAATCTTTTACCTGCACCACTGCAAACGGAGATTTACACAAAAGATCAATGTAGAAAGGCATCTTCGAATTCATACGGGAGAGAAATAATCTAACTGCGATTATTGTTTACAAAAGTCTGCTTACAAATACAGTGTAAATTCTTACATGAAACGCTGTAGCAAAGATTTTCTTAATTAATATAATTATTGTAAAATTTCGAAATTTGAAAGAAATAATATAATTCCCAACGTTGCTATTTATTCATTTCCTACGATATTCAGTTTTTCTACCTAATAATATTACAAAATAAAAAAAATTACATTGTAAAAATATAACCACATTTACTTCAACGGGACTCGAAACAACAACTATGTCAACATGAAACTAATACACCCAAATCACACCACTGACCACACCACTGGCAACAATGTAAATTAGAAAAGCTTTTGATTGTAAAGTGAATTCATCGTCATGCAATTACTCGTAAGCAGGTAATGGTTCACTTAGTTATATGCTAATTTCTTAGATACGTATATGTGAGATGATAATAAATAAACGTGTAAAGCCAGTTTTAATGTCAGATATACAGAATATACAAATAATGCAATTAAATAATTATGCTCCTGCGTAAAACCGGTGACGTCAAAGTCATGTGGCATCTGCAGCCAATTACCGTGATGATTCATTTCTAGTTCTAAGCGAGTGTTGCCTCTGTTCGTCGACGTCAACTCGAGAGTTAAATGCGGAAACGAGCCGAAGAAATGGCAAATCGAGAGGTACAGAGTCGGTAAGTACTTGTGTTGTTTTCTGTTTATAGCGTTTCTAGATGTGTCAGCGCAAAATCATTTTACCTGTTTTGCAATTGACTATCGTATGTGTCTCNCTATCGTATCTGTCTCTCTTATAAAAAAATTAACAAAAAAGCGATACTGTGCTGCTATCGCAAACCTAAATATTGACGTGATAAATGACATAAGTCGATTTTCTGTCTGTTATTTGTATTTATTTTATCACATATGTTCGCTTCAAATGAACATACTCTTACTGAATTTTCATATATAAATTTTATAAGATATTTAAACTAAAAGTATTTAATTAACAAAAGTTTCCATTGTCTTAATGACTAAACAAAACTTCTCAAAGAGCTTATTTCCTTGTGTAAACAACCGCCTGTTTACAATGTTCGAACTCGAGAAATACACTCTTCCACTTTTAGGGTTCAAAGGGTTTAAGTAGCTAAAAATTTCCTTTTTCTTGGTGAAATTCTTTTCGATTTTTAAAGTTTGAGTTAATAAGCTGTGTTCAATTTTTAATATACCGATTATTAATACTAATTTTTTTTACAAGATTTAATTCGAGTAGTTCAGTGTTTCTCGACATGTAAATCGCGGATCTTTCAGTTTCATTAACTAATAGGTGGGTCGTTGAGTTCTAAAATGTAAAAGTGCTATTTATTTGTTTAAGGCAAATAAAGGAATGAGTTAATTAATTACATTTTGTACAAAGATTTGATTAAGATTAATTTCATGCCAATAATTTTACAATATAGTTTGATGGTAATTATTTACATTAAGATCGTTAAGTGTTTTTTTTTTCAATTCTATTTTGAAGTAGCATATTTAATAGACATTATACACACAATAAAATTGTTTTATTTAAAACAATGGATTTAATACGTGTTAAAGCAGCACTTTATAAACGTTTTTTGTTCAATAATTACAAGTTTCACATAAAAGTACTAAATAACATTACAGTGAAATTCACTTATTTGACTAATTTATTATTTATCGGTCTACAAAGCAGGAGAATTCATGTTCAGAATAAATATATAGGTACGACAGTGTTACGTTATACTGCTTATACACTCCTTTCCCTTGAAAGCGGCGAGGAACCACGTGATGCCACACGTCATAGAATAGTCTCAAGCATAGCGTCTCGATGCTCGAGGTGGGCCTTTAACTAATAAGTTATCAGTTAAAGGCTTTTTTTTCTTTCCTTCGTATTGTAAACTTGTAATAATTT